CACTTGCTCTTTTGTAGTCCTGTCCTTCTCCGGGGGCTTTTTGTGCCAAGACAGCCGTAGGAAAACACAAGGAAATGTCAGTGTGTAGGTTATCCTTCTTGAGACCTTGTAATGACCCAAAAAAAAGTCCGAAATTTGAAGTTTCTTTCGGGATGTGTCTGTATTCTGCCCGCTGTGCTGATGGCAGCCCAGAGTGTGCTGTGGCTCTTGGCTTCAGGCTAAATGCCATTGGATCAGCGAGCGGAGGAAAGACGTCACGGCGCTTGAAGTATCGCGATACTCGCCTCGGCACGCCATGTTAAAAAAGCATGTTTTTTTAAATGTTCCGAGCTTTGATAAACGTTCGTGTTGTACTAACGTGTCGATTATAACAAAGGATTTTCACTTTCATTAGTAGTACATTTCATATAAATAACTTGCTACTGACACCTTTGATTTTTCAAAAGCAAATACATTTTATTTACTCCTAATAGTATGAGACACATTTTAAAAGGGTTTATTATGTTATATTATAATATATATATAAACATTTTGATTAAAAAATAGTAAATTTGGAGAACAATTGTAAAATTTGTTCAAAAGTATAAAGTGTCTACTTCTTACATAAAAATATTTTATTCACAAGTGCAATGTTTTGGAAATATATTATTGTCCTCCAAAAGCAGAGAACCCTGGTAAATTAAGGTCTCCATAATAAATTGATAAAGATAAAACAATTGAATAAAGCCAGGAAGCTATTGCATTTTTTAAAATCACTATATGTTTTAAGACCGAGTAGTTCTACTTACATTTAGGCTACTTATAATATTTTATTGTTTAAAGGGAGACTTAGAAAATGTATATATACATTATACAATATACACTTGTTCCAGATGTTTTATTAAATCATTTACCACAAATTTATTAATCAATTCTATTCAATTATTTTCAAATGCATTCTGTCAATGAATGTACACAACTTGATGGTTTGGCTCAAATTAGGTAAATCACAAAGAACTGTGTTTTGTTTTTTTTAGGCCTTTATAATACAATATCTTTGAATTTATTCAAGGTTACTAAAAATTACTACCACATAATTCTATTTAACAGTTTTTAAAAAGAGAATATGTTTAAGATTTCATTCATTTTCCTTCGGCTTAGCCCCTTTGTTTAGTCCCTTTATATCAGGCGTCGCCACAGCGGAATGAACTGCCAACTTATCATAAGTTTTACACAGTGGATGCCCTTCCAGCTACATCCCAGTACTGGGAAACGCTCATACACTCTTATGTTCACACATACACAAAGGCTAAATTAGTTAATTCAATTCACTTATAGCACATGTCTTTGGACTGTGGGGGAAACTCTACACAGAAATGCCAACTGCCCAAGCCAGGACTCAAACCAGCGTCCTTCTTGCTGTGAGGCAACTGTGCTAAGCACTGAGCCACCACACAGCCCTATGATGAAGAAGACAGTAATGAAATAATCATGGTCCAACTAATTATTACAAAGCTCTTTTTCTTTCTTTTTGAGGGAGAGTGGCAAAGTATAAAGATTTAAAATGGCAATTAATTTTAGAGCTGCACTGGACCTTCAATAGTCTTTTAGAATTCCATCAAATTATCTCTTTTTTTGTTTTTTTTATTTGCTGTTAATGTGATAGCCCAAATGACTGCAAATCATGGCTTCAAAAAGTCTTTTTGTTGTTGTTTTATTAAAGAGCAAAATGTAAACAAACACACACATACAGATGGCCAGTTGAAGTCACAATTATTAGCCCTTTTGTGAATTTTTGTTTTCTTTTTTTTTTTTATATTTCCCAAATGATGATTTAAACAGAGCAAGGGATTTTTCACAGTATTTGCTATAATATTTTCCTCTGCAGAAACTCTTATTTGTTTTATTTCAGCTAGAATAAAAGCAGGTTTTCTACCCATTTAAGGTCATTATTTGCGCTCATAAGCTATTTTTTTTTCTAAAGAAAAAAAAACATTGTTATATAATAACTTGCCTAATTACCCTAACTTGCCTAGTTTACCTTATTAATCTAACCTTTAAGCTCAATACTAGTGTCTGAAAAATATCTAGTCAAACATTATTTACTGTCATCATGGCAAAGATAAAATAAATCAGTTATGAGAAATGAGTTATTAAAACTATTGTGTTATGTAAACAGAAATTGGAAAAAATACACAAGAGCTAATAATTTAGGGGGGCTAACAATTTTGATTTCAACTATAGGCTTTTTAAAAATGATGCAAGAAAGCACATTTTCAAAGATAAAATATGAACAAACAGACAAAAAAAATTGTAGCTAATTATACAAGTTAAATGATTTACACCATGAAATAATTTTACATGCAATATACTTATCAGATATATACCGCTGAAGCCCCCTGTTACCCCCCCCCCCCCCCCCCCCCCAATTTCTGTTTAACGGAGAGAACATTTTCTTCAACACATTTCTAAACATAATAGTTTTAATAACTCATTTCTAATAACTGATTAAATTTATCTTTGAAATGATGACAGTAAATAATATTTGACTAGATATTTTTTCAAGACACTTCTATACAGCTTAAAGTGACATTTAAAGGCTTAATTAGGTTAACTAGGCAGGTTAGGGTAATTAAGCAAGTTGTATAATGATGGTTTGTTCTGTACACTATCAAAAAATATATATAGCTTAAAGGGACTAATAATATGACCTTAAAAAAGAATAAAACTGCTTTTATTCTAGCCAAAATAAAACAAATATAAGACTTTCTCCAGAAGAAAAAATACTATCAGACATACTGTGAAAATTTCCTTGCTCTGTTAAACATCATTTGGGAAATATTTAAAAAGAAAAAGAATTTAAAGGGGGCCAATAATACTGAATTCAACTGTATGAATCAAAATAGCACAATATAAATCAAAATCCTTTCTTAAAACAAAACGTAAGGATGTTTTTCTGAAAATTTACATTTATGGATGTAAAGTTTAGTCATAAAAAGCAATACATTAATAACAAATTTACAATGAGAAGGATCTAAGTTCAGAGAGTAATCAAAGAATTACAATTTGGGGATACAAAAGTTTAAAAAGAAGGGTTTTTTAATGAATTTGCGTCAAATGAGTACAAAATGAGCATTTAGGGGATATATATATATTGTTATTAAATGTATACAGTATGTAGGTTTTATATAGGCTACACACACTGTAAATGTCAATGCCTTGTTGATGCGTGACATTTATATAAATTGTTGTAAACTGTTCATAAACAAATTCATTCATTTTCTTGTCGGCTTAGTCCCTTTATTAATCCAGGGTTGCCACAGCGGAATGAACCACCAACTTAACCAGCAAGTTTTTACGCAGCGGATGCCCTTCCAGCTACAACCCATCTCTGGGAAACACCCACACACACATTCACATACACTATGGACAATTTAGCCCACCCAATTCACCTGTACCGCATGTCTTTGGACTGTGGGGGAAACCGGAGCACCCGGAGGAAACTTACGCGAAGGCAGGGAGAACATGCAAACTCCACACAGAAACACCAACTGAGCCGAGGTTCGAACCAGCGACCCAGCGACCTTCTTGCTGTGAGGCGACAGCACTACCTACTGCACCACTGCCTCGCTCATAAACAAATTAAACAAATTATATATAGTGACAGCCCTGTGTAAATACTGAAAAAAGACTATCGCAAAATAGCAATAACATGCAACCATAGTTTTTGTCCGATGCAGCAACAGCAGGTGAATCCCAATAGTATCTAGATGCATGATTGACCCGCTGCTGCCTCCTCGTCGCTTATTTTGTACATCCAAAGATGTGTAGCCGGCTACATATTATCTAACCAACCTTCTGTCTCGCTACAAACCAACTCGCTCTTTAAGATCTCAAAATTCAGGGCTTCTGGTAGTACCTAGAATAGCAAAATCAAGTAAAGGAGGTCGAGCCTTCTCTTTCATGGCTCCTACACTCTGGAATAGCCTTCCTGATAACGTCCGAGGCTCAGACACACTCTCCCAGTTCAAAACTAGATTAAAGACCTATCTGTTTAGTAAAGCATACACTCAATGCATCACCTAGCGGGTTCCACACTGGCTTCTACATCTTGCTTATATACACTATGAACAGCAGCTACGCTAATTATTTTCTTTATTCACTATTTTCTCCTGGGATACTCATCCCGAGGTCCTCAGATTATGCGGAGTCACTGATTGGATCCAAGAACAGCGACGTGATGATCCCAAGGATTCCATATCCGGGACCAGGCCATATCCTGAGCTGCTGCTGCGCTGATGGTCGTGGGGAGTGGAGAACATGAGTCTGATTCCAGCGACGCTCCAGGGACAGACGAGTCTTCGCTGAGGCTATCTTCCAGCCTAAACCACGACGAATGAAGTTCTGCACTAGACTTTTGGCCAGCGGAGAAATTAAAATGGTCGTGCCCAACTGAGTATGGTTCTCTCAAGGTTTTTTTTCTTCACTCCCATCAGGTGAAGTTTTTTTTCCCTCTCCGCTGTTGCCACTGCCTCGCATGGTTCAGGATTGGTAGAGCTACGCATCGATGAATTGGCTCTTCAGTGTTTGAACTCTCAGTAATGATTAAATCACACTGAACTGAGCTAAACTGAACTGAACTGAACTTAAACACTAAAACCTGAACCACACTGTTCCAGTTACTGAACCACACAGTACCAGTTACTATGACCATTTATGTGAAGCTGCTTTGACACAATCTACATTGTAAAAGCGCTATACAAATAAAGCTGAATTGAATAAAGCTGAATTGAATTGAACATATTATAATGATATATGCTTAGTAAAGGTGTATGAAACAACACACACAGAATAAACTGTGTTCCCGTGTTGCTAGATTAAACGCCTAGCCCTTTAATCTTTAAACGGCTTTCTTATGTTCATCCTCTAGGAGACGCTGTGCAGTCATCCGGGTTCCCGACCCTCTCGTTCCGCCCATTTCACCGGAAGAAAATCCGCATCGCCCCCTTTCGCTTCCTCTTTCCGTCAACGGAGTTTAGGTATGGGAAACAATCTTCTGTCTCTCCGTTCAATCTAAATACAATCACCATTTAAAGTTCATCATCCATACATCTAACAGCCCTTATAGTGTCGCCACACTAGTCACGAACTCTTCTGTGCCGTTCGCGTCTCTTAGTAGTGTAAAGCGTGTGTGATATTGCTGATAGAAGTGTTGATGCTTATCCGGTCTGGTGTTGTGGCCTAAAGCGCCGGGCGTCCTGCAACGACCACCTGGATGCTTATTTAAACGAGCTTTTTTCCTTTATACACGTGCTTAAGTTATTTATTATGTATCGTTTTTAATTGTACGAGTCGCCATAGTGGAAAACTGAACCACGCAAACTACTAACATTAGCATTAATAACAGCGGCTGTCACCGCACTAGAGATGTAATGGTGTAAGATGAAAGTTCCGTCAGCTTTCATTGACTCGAACTCTATAACAATGTTTTATTCATACATTAACTTTATAAATAAGATGCTGAGGAAAAATTTAACTTGAAAACTTGTGCCTTTTCTTGAGCATCTTTTACTGCATGTCCCATACGTTTAAATGTGACAGGTCAGTCTGCATGTGTTTGTGAATGTGACATTCACATGTTTTATTAAATGACAAGTATTTTAAATTGCCAAGAGCAAAAACACCTTGCTCTGTTAAACTAATTTGAGCTTATCACACCATTTACATGTGAAAACGTGCTAAAGGTTTAAATGTGTCATTGTTTCTGCAGGCCGCAATGGGACGTGTGATCAGGGGACAGAGAAAAGGTGCGGGCTCCGTCTTCAAAGCCCATGTCAAGCACAGAAAAGGTGCTGCTAAACTCCGTCATATTGACTTCGCTGAACGCCATGGCTACATCAAGGGAATCGTGAAGGTAAAAGTTGAAAACGTCTAATTCAACACCTGCTACTAAGATGTGTTTTAAGGCTCTGATGTGTTTTAAGTGGCTTTCCAAATTAAGGTAAAGTTGGTTTTATATTTGCTCAGTCATTCAGTGACCGCTCCTTATGTTGTTTACTAAATTGACTGAAATAACATGCAAGTGTGACTTCAAAACAACATCAGCACCATTTAACTGACTGAACAATGTTGTACTTTGATAGTCATCAGCTGCTAATAAGATTTCACTATTTAGAATATGCAATGAATACTTTATTGAAATTATTTTATTAATGATAAAGTCAAAATGTGTGAATATAAACCAACTTTACCATGTTTTCCAACTCTTCCAGAGGTAGAGAGAGGCTTTTGGCTGGATTGCTTTTGTGGTGTAAATGCTCATTTGGGTAAATGCAATCATAAGCTAAAATGTTTAATTGAAAATAATAAAATATTGGTGTCAGCTGGATTACTTAATGCAGGTATTATTGCACCATATTGTGTGTTAGTGCTTCTTTAAATGAAGCTCTCTGATGCAGGGTATCTGCGGGCTTTTAAAGTCTTAATATGTCTTAAATTTCAAAAACAAAATGTTAGGCCTTTATTTCTTAAATTCACTGAAATATTGTGGTGTATGTCTTAACTAATTTCAACAGGTCTTAATTTTCCTCTGTCCAAATAAAGCTACCCAATCGGTCCAACATTCATCCAGTCATCAACAAAATATCTTAATAAAATCAGGGGGGAAAAAACTAATTCCACATTTCATCATGATAATAACAGCAATTTACCCCATTACCCGTTATCTTGCATTCATACATTAACTATTTTCAGAAGTAAGGACAAGTTGACATATTTATAAATAGACATGTTTATAACAGACATGCATTAGGTTGAATAGAAGTTATACTCAATCAAGAGAAGTTGTACTCAGTCAATTTGGACCAAAAGCCAACAAATATTTATTTTTGTTTATTTATGTAATTGCCTCCATAATAAATATACTTTTAGCCATGTTGAACTTGTCATTAAAAAAAGAAAAAATATATTATGTTAAAAATGGTATACAACTAGAGTTTTCTTCTTTTGACACATTCAAGTAGGTCGCTAAGAAATAACTACACTTCTCCAGTCTCTTTGTGTCGGAGCCCTGCGACATACCCACTTGGTCACGTGACTCACTTTAATAAAAATTCTTTCCCACAGGAGTGTTGGTAAACACCATTGCACCCTGGAGAAAAAAAAATAGTATTAATGACTTCTGCACTAAACAAATGAATTTGCACTAAAGATTAAAGTAAAGAACTGTTCGGGTGCCAGACAGAATTAAAACCTGTCTATATATATATATACACACGTTATCAGATTATGCACAATTACCCCAAATAACGTTATTAGCAGCAGAGACAAGCCATTGGTTACACACAAAATGAAGTGGAATAAATTATCAAACAAGATTCAATTCAACTCAGGTCATATTTCTTAACCAAAAGTGACAACAACAAAACACAAGAAATATTCAATTAGCATCTTGTAACAGCGAAGACTTAAAACAGTCCAGTCCAGATCAAAAACAAAACACAAAAATAAATAAGCGTCAACAAGCAAAACAAAAATTACCCCAATTGTATTATTTAAAAAAAAAACAACACAAAGAGGGGAAATCAAAATCTATACTCACACAAGGGAATTGAGTGTGTTGTGCAATTGTCTGTGGAAACTAGTTTTAATAGTAGATTTTAGCTCACAACAGATGACTTGTCCTCCGAAGGATAACGTTACGATGATTTGAGATGAAGATCATAGACTTAAGCGAAGCAGATTCAGGAAGACTACTACTCACGGAGACAACGTCCAGGCAACCCAAGATTTTTGTCAACAACTCTGCGGAAGTTATGGTGGTCTGCGCCTGGAGATACGAGTCAAAACCCCTCCGCAAACGATCCAGCAAGAGAACCCACAGTGCAGATTGGTACCGTTGCTCCCCAACAAACACTTGGATCACCTTTTTCAGGACGCCCCGCTATTCTGCACGTCGCGTCCTTATGCACACTGGCTCCACCTTCACTTCCGCTCAGACCACCTTCCTCCAACCACACAACCCGCCACCAAACACCTTGTCACTTCCGTTTTTATTGGAAACAGATTCCATCTGCCCCCACAACGTCATTCATTTCGGTGTTCACAATTAGTGCGTTTGTTTAAATTGTGCGGTCCATTCAGAGATCGTCACTATATATATATATATATATATATATATATATATATATATATATATATATAAACTTTTTGTGTGTGTGCGCGCCAAGTCTAAAATCTCTTTATAATGTTCTTTAAAGTGTCTTAAAAAGTCTTAAATTTGACTTGATGAAACCTGCAGAAACCCTGCAATGTTAGTTCAGCATCTAATGTGCTAAAATGACATTCATTCACCATATAACATGTTGCATATGATGTTCTGTTACTAGTTGTTTCCAACACAAACCCACAGCATTTTCAGTCTGTCAGGGCAGGGGAAAAGCTTCTCTTTTAAATCACTTTTTCTCGTCTTTCATTAAAGTTTAAAGGGATAGTTCACCCCAAAATCTAAATGATCTCCTTTACTCATTCTTACTCATCTTCTAAACATGTTTGAGTTTTTTTTCTCTCTATTGAACACTAAACATGTTAGTAATATACTTAAATGTTGGAAACCCGCAGCCATTGACTTGCCTATCTTTTTTTTTTTTGTTTCTTCTATAAATGTCTGACACTGCTGGCTTCCAACGTTCTTCGGATTATCTTGTTTTGCTTTCAACAGAAAAAATAAATTCCCAAAATTTTACAGAAATTTAATTTGAGGTAAACTTTTATTAGCTGTTTGTTTAGAGCCAACCCTCAGAGAAATGTATGTTTCTTCATTTAACCAGATAAAAAAAAACCTTTAGATCAAGATCTTATTTACAAGGGTGACCTGGCCAAGAGGTCCGCAACACACAACTTATGAAAAAGAAATGAATAATAAATAGAAAATGAAGATAATATTAAATACGATTTAGTTGTTTAACTAAATCAAGAAGGGTTACAAAAAAGTCTGATTCAAATGGCTTGTGCTTGAGATCTGATCAACCCAAATGCATCTTAACAGCAGCTGTGAACTGCTCCCTACAAAGGGGAACTTACAAAGGACTCTACTTTCTCCTGCAGGACATCATTCATGACCCCGGCCGTGGAGCTCCTCTGGCTAAGGTGATGTTTCGTGACCCTTACCGCTTCAAGAAGAGGACCGAGCTGTTCATCGCAGCTGAAGGAATCCACACCGGCCAGTTCATCTACTGCGGCAAGAAAGGTAATGCACTTCAGGATGACAGTAGAGTAGGCAGATGTCCAGCGGTGGGTGTGTGTGTGTGTGTGTGTGTGTGTGTGTGTGTGTGTGTGTGTGTGTGTGTGCGTGTGCGTGTGCGTGTGCGTGCATGCATGTATTGACCAGAGACTGTGTTTGGCTTGCTGCAGCCCAGCTGAACATTGGCAATGTGCTTCCCGTTGGCACCATGCCTGAGGGCACCATAGTCTGCTGTCTGGAGGAGAAGCCTGGAGACAGAGGCAAACTGGCTCGCGCATCCGGAAACTACGCCACCGTTATTTCCCACAATCCCGAGACCAAGAAATCCAGAGTGAAGCTTCCGTCTGGATCCAAGAAGGTCATCTCTTCTGCAAACAGAGCCGTTGTTGGTAAGCAGAAGTGCTTGGAGGACTTGACAATCTGTTGATCATGATCTGTTTGATCAATCATGTTGATTTCATGGTGATAATAATCCAGATTAATATTTGTGCAAAATGCTCCAAGATGAAAAGGTTATTAGGCATTAGAATAAGTGTAACACAGCTTCATTTTTACTGTAATGTAGAGGGTATAAGACTCTTCTGTTTCTTTTTTCTGAGCAAAACATACAACTTTTTTCTGTCTTGATTTACAGAACGTAAATCAGGGTGTCTGCCGAGTCTTGGGAGTCTTTTTTTTTTTTTTTTTTTAGCCTTTAAAAAGTCCTAAATTCACTGAAATATTGTTTTGTAGGTCTTCAACAATTTTAAAAGGGTCCTAATTTTGCTGTCCAAGTAAAGCTACTTAATCAGGCCGACATCCATCCACTGACCAACAATACATCCCAGTAAAACCTTATACAATTCTAAAAAACTAAATACAATTCACATTTGATTAGACATTTTTGCAGCAAACTCCCCAAATTAAATTCCCTAATCAGCTAAAAAATAAAAAAAATTACACGATTCCTCATGACCCCGGGCTATTAGGAAAGAATCCCAGTCTTTAACCTTGTATAAAGTCTAAAATTTCATTCTTAATGGTCTCAAAGGGGTCTTGAAGTGTTGTATTTGGCTTGATGAAACCTGCAGAAACCCTGGTATTTTATATATAATCATCATCTTTGCCTGGCATGTTCACGGAGTCATTTGATCATATGTTAAAACAGGTTCCCAGGCAATAGGCCCAAGTCTGTTTGTTGTTTAATTTTGGAAAATGCCACTCTGAGATTTTCCTTCATGTTCAGTTGTGTCCTGTATTTTTTTTAATGTTGGTGAGTGCTGTAATGGTGTCAGTTTAACTTGGAGTCTGCTGCATCTGATGCTATTGCAGAGCTTTAATATAACTGAATCACCCCTGTGGTTGCAAAAATCGAAAGTTTAATGGCTTTTTATTTGCTTTTTTATGTAACTTATTTTTTTTTTCTTCTGTAGGTTAATTTACTAGTTTATTTGCTGCACATTGTCCTGCAACCCCCACTTTAGGAACCAGTGTGTTAAAAGACAGCTCAAAGATCACTGTGGAACCCTAAAATACTTATTCATTGTCATTTTAAATCCTTCTACTTTATTATTGTTTTTACATTAATTATGATGCAGTGAAGGTGGAATGTATTTCATATTTATTTATTGATCTATTTTTTGTTGGGTTATTTGAAATTACGTTAACTTGAGTTTAATGTTTCTTATTAATGACTTTATAAATGAAGTCAAAGTCTTCAGGCTTGGTTCTTTTTCTTTATGTTTGTCATACAGAGCTTTATGACTGGTGATTTCAAGTTTGAGAACACTTGTGGATCTGGTCTATAGTACAGGGCTTGTCATTTGAACAAAATACACACATTTACGCTCTAGAAAAGGCATGCTGGTTTCACATGGCAAACCTGAGATTAAGAGTTTAAGTAAAAATGTACATTATAATCATTCAACAAACTTTATGTATTTAGTGAAACCTGGAAGTGTTTAAGAAGCTGAAGTTTACTGTGTTTTTGTGAAGGTGTTGTTGCTGGTGGTGGTCGTATTGACAAACCCATCCTGAAGGCAGGACGTGCTTACCACAAATACAAGGCCAAGAGAAACTGCTGGCCTCGTGTCCGTGGTGTGGCTATGAACGTAAGCACATTTCATGTATTATTACAGGTCAAGTTAGTTTCTGATTTAAAGCCGTATATGCTGATTTTAAAAATCTGGTCCTCCTGCAGCCTGTTGAGCATCCCTTCGGTGGTGGTAACCATCAGCACATTGGTAAACCCTCAACCATCAGGAGAGATGCGCCCGCTGGACGCAAGGTCGGTCTCATCGCTGCCCGTCGTACTGGCAGACTGCGAGGAACAAAGACCGTCCAGGACAAAGAAAACTAATCTGTATCTTCATAATAAAATGTGTCCCAACAAATTTCACTTGTCTGGTGACTTTATCAGTACACTCGCATCATTTAAGCGCTGGTGTGGATACAATTATGATAAAGTTAATCAAATCATACATGGTAAACTCATCATGAAAGACCATTAAATGTTTTTTTTTTTAAATAGTAGATCTGAAAGTAGCTGTCACACTCTGATCATTTAATCACTCATACAAAAAGTTAGCACCATTCAACACTATGAATTAAAGAATTGTGGGAACTGTGTATTCAAACTTGCGCTGTTCTCAGTTTCAAATCCTCCATTGGTCCTACTGAACAAGTCGCAGTCTTAAGTAATGACAGCAACTTTGATTATTTAAATTGCATACATTCCAGACAAGAAGACGTTTTAGTGTAGTTTCTGCAATTAGTTTACCTGGACTCGCACTCAACATTTCCTGCCCAAAAGAAAAAAAACTCCATGCAGTGTTTAAAATCAGCCCAATGGACATCCAGAAAGTGGCGGGTGATCTGTGAGCTCTGCTGCACACTAAGGGAAGTGCAGATAAGGTGTAGAAATCCTTAAGTGTTTGCATTGTTTTGTGTATTTTCTACTAAAATGACTGGTATAGTAATGGTTCTTCCGTTAGTGTAAACACTGAGCCTAATTTAAGCTCTGTTGGGTTTTAATATCTTTTCCTAAAATTCAGACAGGATCACTGAATTTATATAAAAAAAAAAATAAAAAAAAATGCACGTTCATGAAATGCATCAGGCTGCTCTTAAAATAGCTTCATAAATATGAGGACAGTCCAGAACTGCACCCAAACTTGGTTTAGAATTTAATCAAATTCCTTGTAATTAGACACATTAAGGGACAGTACACCCAAAATTGAACATTCACTCCTTATTTAAATGATTGCAATCTTTTGGGACTTTTTTTTTTTCAGAACAGCACTAAACATCCATAGTAGGAAAAGCTTAGTTTGAAAGTCAATGATTAGCTTTCATTTAAAAGTTAATTCATTCTTTAAAATATCTTTTCTCTAAAACGGGTGCCCAAACTCAGTCTGGAGGGCCAGTGTCCTGTAGAATTTAGTTCCAACACCAATTAAGACACCCGAACCAGCTATTCAAGTTGGTATACTTGAAACTTCCATTCAGGTGTGTTGAGGGAAGTTTGAGCTTAACCTCTGCAGAGTTTTGCTCGAACCCTAATCAAACACAGCTAATGCAACTGATTAAGATTCTTGTAAATACTCCATTATTTGGATCAGCTTTGCTTGCCCTAGAAAAACAGGTTGGAATTGGAGGGTAGCAAATGACAATTTTATTTTTGTCTGAACCAGTACTTTAAATGAGTATTGAAAATATTGCCATTAGGCATGGGCCTGTATGAGATTCTGACAGTATAACCTTGGATAAAAATAAAAATCACAGTATTGTGCTCACTTTTTCCCCTTTTTGAAAAAAAAATATATATATTAATTTTGTTTTGAAAGATTTATATTTTGGAGCAGTAAACATGTCAGGCTAAATAATTCAAATGAATCACTAACTTCTGCTGTCTTTGTTTCAAAAAGAGAGATTTCTTTACCACTTAAAATGGCATCTTTGGATATATATTTTTTTCTGCTGGAGATAATGTCCTAAAAAAAAAAAAAATGTAAATACAAAATCTTACAAATACCTTAGGAGATATTTTACAGAAATTTTTGGCAGTTTTAAAACCTTGACTTTTCCAAACCGCGGTATACCTTGAAAAGGGTTATCGTCCCATGCCTAACTGCCATTCCCCTAGGCAAGGGGTGCCCAAACTTGGTCCTAAAGGCCCGGTGTCCTGCAAAGTTTAGCTCCAACCTCCTTCAACACACCTGCCTGGAAGTTTCTAGTACACCTGGAAAGAGCTTGATTAGCTGGTTCAGGTATGTTTAATTGGGGTTGGAACTAAAATAAGCAGGACACCGGCCCTCCAGGACCGAGTTTGGGCACCCCTGCCCAAGGCGGTAAGTGCTTTGTTTCAGTATTATCAGAAGTTCCTTATGAACGCAAGTTTTGCTTTAACATTTCAGGCTAATGAACTCACGGTTGTCAAAACTCACACCGAGACACATTGTTTCCAGATTTCTTTTCTTTATTCTCGAAGGGCGCAATGCTTTTCTCTAATATTTCTGTGCACAAAAACCTCACAAAGTGAAAGTCAACGTTGTGACTGTGGCTTCAGAATTCAGCGTCACATCATGGCCAAAACAAAAGTCGGCAAAAAACAGGGCGAAGAACTCTGTACAGTCAATAATCTTTAAAAATAACACAAGGACAAAAATGTTCCTCTTAAATCAAATTCTATTTTTCTTTTAGTGAAATACAACAAAATAAATTCTATAAAATAAAACAGCAAAATATTTAAATATATGATGGGCAGAATATTTTCATTTGCAGGAGTATTTGGTATTTTTCCAACAAAATCCAAGGAAAAAAAAAAAGCATTCAAGTTACCAATTAAATACATACAGTATCTACCGATGTTTACTCCTTTAAATCCAAGAGACTTTACTAACTGAAGTTGCAACATGACTAACCAGCAGTTATTTTATTCTTTTATGTTATGGTACAACCCTGCTTTTATGTTCACTCTCCTTAAATGAAGAATCCCCAGAACAGGCCTCTATTTGAATACACGAATGTGAACAGGGATCACGAAGTCGGGCGGCCGTCTAAATTTGCCAGGAGTTCATCTGTCCGACGCGAGCATCGAGACAAATAAGCCAAACGAGTTCTGTCCCCTAATGCTCCAGGCAGAAACTGTTGCATATATTTTCTCTCGTTCTAAAATTCCTATCGTCAAAACTTAAGCGTTTATCCCACCAAACAAAGCGACAGCCAAATATTTATCCGAGGAAACGTGTGCAATTGTAAAGCCACTTATTTCTTACATTGCTTCGAAAACATCAAATCTAGAAGAGCGTATGGAAGGAGGGAGGACCAAACAGAAAGGTTCTTCCCGGTTGCTGTGGACCAAAAAAAGAAAAAATAATGGCGGAACTGCCTTCGGCTATACTAGTTTGATGTGAAGCCATGCTAAGATGTTACAGCGTGTCAGCTGGAGTCTTCAAATTATTGAATTATTACCAGAAAAAGAAAGAAAGAAAGAAAAAGGCAATAGGAATTTCCAGAATAAAGTTGCATCAGCACCCCATTCACATCAACGAAACGTCAAGATCATCACCCAACCGTCCCATCGTTCACAAACTATGGCCAACTCTCGCTCACGAGGCGCCACAGCCGGTTAAGCTTTGACATGAATATAATGTATGATCAAAAGCAGAATGACCCAAACGGCCCAAACCTTACTACTGAGCATGGGATAAAACAGGGATTATTTTTTTTGTCTTTCACCGTAGTATTTGTATCTTTTTTTTTTTGTAGTTTTTTTTTTGTTTGTTTTTTTCAGTTGGTTTTGATAAATCTGCAGTCTCTCAACAGCATCACACGCGCTGTTGCTTTTGAACAGTCAAAACATTAACATAGTATGTACACCTCTGTCACGAGACAAGTGCATCAGGCCCGGTTTATTATTACAAACAATATGCAGAGTCCACCGCGAGTTAGACTTTTGACAGTTAATGCTCCGCTCCAGGGTTAGAGATTGAGGGAAGCTGGATGTTCTGGAGTGGAGCAGGATGGAGGGGCCTGGTCTTGCTCTGGACTGGAGACTCCTGCTGGAGATCTCAGATGGAGGACAGTGGGACAGCGTGCTGTTAGTCTTTAGTCTGGCTGGGCTGAGGCGTCTCCTCGGGGGGCTCCCAGTTCTCTTGTGCTCGTGGGCCGGGACGCTGAGGGTTGTTGACGTGCTGTGCGGCGGGGCCAGTGTAGGGCTGCGTATGCGGGAGGTTATTCTGCTGGGAACAACAATGACAGATGATTACCTGACAGATCACATTAAACATCCTATCTGCTTTGCAAGTATAGTTGTTGAACATGGGCTGGTGTGATGCATTTCATCAGTGCACTTCAGCATTCAGTGCAACTAATACATCTATACACAGTTGTGGTCCAACTTATTGGCAGAGCTACTTTCACACAGGGAAAACATGCTGTATTGTTTAATAAAGTAAAAGATCAAACTAAAATAGATAGAGAATAGATCATTTGATAATTTATAGATAATAACATAAATTATTCAGTGCAAAGTTTAAAAAAAATTTAAGGGTCACGAAACACAAAAACAAGTTTTTTAGATGTTGTCGATCATATACATGTCCCACGCTGCTAAAAACACTATTAGGACACATATCTCATGTTGCTCGGAGCAAATTTGTTCTTCCAATTTGAAAATAAATTTTGAAGATACATCAAGGCAATCAGATCCTTGTGTAAATTCCAGTGTGGAGGTTGGCTGTCTGTACCGGCCAGTACAAAGTGACGTCATTGAGTTTTCAGCATTGATTCATGAGGAAGACTTTGTTTTAACCAATCAGTGCACTCTATTGTGAATGAGATGCAACTTCATTAATATGCATGATCAAGCTTAGAAGACTTCATTTACCTGTTACAGTGTTCAGAGACCCCACGTTGTGTTACCAACCGTATTTCAAACAAGTAGAAGAATCGTTCGGAGTCATGTGTCGAAATAACGGTTTTGTATCCATTTCCCCGCGATGAGAGCACTGATCACTTGTGGACCCACATGTGTGGATTACGGTGGTCTGCTGACATGTGACACAAAGATGTTTGCAAGGAACATTTTTTACCCGAGAGCTTTTCAAATGTGGAAATGGTGAAAGCCGCATTTGCGACTCATCTTAAAAAAAGACTTTGTTTCAGTAGGTGTTGATTGTTGTGTCTCTTCAGACTGGGTAAGTGTGATAAATGCTCTTTATTTGTATATTCAGATGGCAAAGTTAGTCGGTATTATCAGTGGGACTCTTTCAGTTTTTAAAGACATACCTTAGTCAGAATGATTTAGTTACTACGTTTACTGTAATATCACTACAATACTATGGACTGAAAATCCTCCAACCACACAACCATTCAAAAAGACACCGAACAA